AAAAGGACAGGGCAATTAAAGAATAAGGACATGGCAATTAAATAAAAAGGACAGGGCAATTAGAGGGAGAGGGTAGGGAAATTGAAGAAAAAGGACAGGGCAACTAGAGGGGAAAGACAATCGGCGGTAAAGATGAAATACCAAAAAGGGCAACTCAACTGTTGAATATGGGAAAACAAATGCAAGTGTGATGCAACGTAGACCAAACAACGACACACAAATTATCATGACAACGAGATGAAATGCACATCAGTCAACCCATCACACACAGCTCCATACACACACATCACACGCACCACAACAACAGCCACGCAGGGCAGACGCAGAGGGGAGGAATCTGAGCTATATATATATATATATATATATATATATATATATATATATATATGTATATATATATAAATATATATATAAATATTGAAATATATAGTACACTAAATAAAAAACCTGCAACTATGGAAAGCAGTATGTGTCAGGATACAGTTCATGACTATAGCGACAGAATAGAGCTCACAAAACTAGCAACGATACACTGCAGAAAGTGGGGCAAGTGCAGTGTATCAGGGTGTAACAGGTGCAGATTAACAACATCGCGTGCGAATAGTATAGCCTAATATAAACAGAGCACTCATACATAGTAGGGTGCCACGGACGGCTAAATGGGATGAACAGGCATTAAAATAGTTGATAGCACTTTGGATCAATAACAACTAACATTGAAATAGTTTAATCGCTTTATATCACTTTAGGTCAGTATGATGTAATATGTGGTGTTGTATTACCTTGTCGACCTAGTCAGATGACTTATCAAATCATAGCATAGCATTTTAGAGAACCACAGGGGTCTCTAATTGGACATACGCCTCAGTGAATGTACAGCGTATATACGACAGTCGCGGAATGCACATATGCGATGCAGTCGGACATGTGGCCCACGCCCTCTCGTACAAGCACACGCTTATGTATCACCATAACAACTTGTGCATGTATTCAGTTGTGTTGAGTGTATAGTCTTGCAGTATAGTGTCTCTCTGCATACACTCACTCACACGCACAGGATCTAAATCATCACAACAACATATGCATGCACAAAGCAGCAGGACAAGTGCCGCCATGTAGAAACGTCACCAATGGACTCACGAGCATGCACACGACCTATGCCCTCACAACGTCATATCCATGTAATTATTTGTATCACAACCACGTCTATGTAGCGGCTACACACCTCTTATCTGTCTATGCGTTGGCTATTTTTCGGCAGTGTCTGAGCGTGAAAACATGCATCCACCTGCGGCGAGGGTGGATGTGTACAGGTGCGAGTGTGGGTTCAGTGGCAACCTGTGAGATCAAAACTATACAGCTATAAAAGAGATGAGACTGAGGGGTAGTCATACATAAGACGACGGAGAGAAAAGGTGGCTACGATAGCTATACACAAAGGAGATAGAGACTGAATGGAAGGGTCGAGGGAGACGCAGAGATTGAAGGCATGTCGCGTAACCAAAAACTGCAGGACGCCCAACTTTAACACACAGTACTACTCTTCACTAACAGTTACTCAACGCTCAGAGCACCTAAGATCATTGACTGTCGTATGTGGTATACCTCACTTGCTGTGTTGCGATAGCCACTGTCTATAATGGCTTCCGTATATATTATAAATATAGTAATATACACTGACAGCCTACAGAGATGCTGGGATGGTCCACAACTCTCTAGTCCAGATTTATTTACTTTATGCCCCTTGTCCTAAATATTGAATAAAGTGTAATTTACCGCACCAGCCACCAGGGCTGTATGCGCAGGTACGTAGGGCGTAGGCCCGTAGTCCTAGACCAAAACCTTAAACCCTAAAAATAAGTCCCAAAGGCATTAAAAAACCTAAATACACGCCGCTATAGGGTTCAGAGGTTTAGGTTTTTATGGCCTCTCCTATGTAAAAAAATTTGGAACAAATATGTTTTTTTTTAGGGGCTAATATTTGATGTTGGTTAAAAACAAAAAAAGCTATAAAAAACCCCCCAAATGTTTCTTTTACAAGTATATATTACATTGTACCGTACATGTGGTATGGCTCTCATAGCCGTTGTAGTGGTTCGGGGAAGATCGATGGGAAGAAGTGGTCAGTAAATTCCCTGTTGAAGCTTGGACCAAGTGAGTCGACAATGGAGGATATGCGCTGGGTCAATTCAGGCCGGTGCTGACAAAAAACTGACGCCATCGAGTGTGCCACGTATTCGCTTTCTGACCTACTAAATAGCGTACCCACCTCTGTGGTTCGGATCGGGTCTTTATCGTGTTGTGCTGTGGAATGGGTTAGTGCAGAGTACGAAATGCCAAGTAGGACCAGGTTATCCGGTAAATACACTGTTTTTTTTGGCAGATTTACCATAAAAATTCCCCAAACTGTTTTAGGGTTTTAGGGTTTTTTAAAATCACCTTCATTTTTTTCCGATTTTTTTTTCTTTTGGACACTGTCGTTTATTTTGTTTTATTTTTTGAAAAAATGATATCGTTTTACAAAAAGTCTTGAGGGACCAACTGACGTCGCGTCTTGACATTGCGCGACGACATTACACGTACATGCAAACGGTCAGCGTGGAACGGTGCAATATAGTGTCGACAATGGCACCAGTAAATTGCAACCAATTTCCATCTCACACCTGTGCGGCGGCTGCGTCTGGGAAGCACCGTCGCCAGCGCATCATCGTTGAGGACGCAATTATACATTAGTTTCTCTTCCTGACTCATGTTGGCGACCGTCATTGCAGTCCACACTGCAGGTGCAGGTGCAAACGGAAGAACATCATAGTCTTCACCACTGGAACATATCACGTCGATGTCCGACTCATCGCTACTCTCAATTGCAAACAATCGATCATCATCCAAGGGACCCAACATGAACTCGAACTCCGCGGTCTCCGCACGTCGCATGTCCTCACGGGCTTTTTTCTCGGCCTCCTGGCGCTCAACAACGAGATGATTGGTCGCGTGCAAAGATAGTCTCGCGTACTTCTCGCTCTCTTGAAGATACACTATCGCCACCCCATCACCATCACATGTGGAGTGTACAGTGACAGACACTTGTCCGAAAAGGAACTGCTCGCCATCAAGAGATCCACGTGGCTTGGTTAACGTACACTTGTATGGTGCACCGTGTAGCAGGGACTCGTAATCGGTGGCCAGTTTTATAGTCGGCAGCTGGGCGATTTGGGCCTGGCACAGGTGGCGTTTGAACGCAATAATGTTGAGCTCAACTTTGCACTCTGCGCACGTCCGTCGACAAGTTTCGAGCACTTCGTGTATGGCGCGGTTCGTGAACATGACCAACGTCGTATTGCGACACCTGCAACATGAGTCGCCTTTAGTCTTGGTCACACAGGTGGCACACAGTGACGTTCTACAGCAAGAAGACTGTTTGACGCCTACGGTTACTGTGGTACAGATGACACAAGTAAAATTCGATTCAAGTATTTCCTCCATAGTCGTTGTTATTGATGTTGTTAATGTTGTGGGAAGATTGTGAATCAAACCTCGTACTATACGTTGCGTTTTATACCCCAATTTTTTATCTTTTTTGAAACTATTCTGTCGGGCGTGATTTGTCGCAAAACTGCATCTACAACAGGGTACAATAGTCCAGCCCCGATTGATGAGGGTTCAAAAAAAAAATACATACTACCTCGACTCGAGCACACCTATACGTTCAACAAGTGTACCAATCACACCCTCGTGTGCTGCCACCTGTTTCACCAGAGCCTGGTTCTGTTTCACCAGCATCGCTGTGATGCTATTCCGGGTCATCATACACGAGCTCCAGTGCAATGGCCTGCACATCTTCAGCAATCAGTCCCACATGCGTCTCCTCTTTGTTCACGACCTCGTATCGTACAATACTCTGCCGCTCAACATACTCGGCGTACAATTCCTCCAACCCCATACCATCACAACCTACAGGTCCGTCACCCCCGTCATATAAACCTTTGCCCTCCAATATCTCTGGTTTCGGTGGATGGTTCGCCTCTACCCACTCCTCAAACAAAATAGGAAGTTTAAGCGTCTCTGGGCGGGGCTGTGTGTACTTGTTCTTGTTCGTGTAGTTTAACTCTTTGACCACCAGGCCCTGTAGGATTGCCTCGACGTCTCGCTCATACACCTGGATATTTTCTTTAGTAGCCTCACCCAATGTCGAGTATGTAATCTTGCCCGTCGCGGGGTTGTATGTTAGTGCGTTGGGGCCGGTAGCGTTGCGGACCGGCATAATAACCAGTGAGTCTTCGACTAGGTTGTTGAGTGTGTTACCCATTGCATTAAGGGTAATAGAGTTGTTTGGTACTTGTGGCTTACATGCGTATGCGCCTATCGCTACAGCATTCCTGGGGTATACCTTATTATCAACTTCACCGTCTCCACCCTCCGTTTCCTCTCCACCCTCCGTTTCCTCCTCAATTTCCTCATCAATATTCGTATCATCCCCCTCCTCACCTAAAACCTCTTCTACTCCCAGCCCCGTTGCCAACGGCTATCGCATTTGCACCCTGACAAATAAAACCAGAATGTGCACCTAGTGCAGTTCCGTGCTCACCCTGTTCGGTTCAACCGGCATCTATCCCTACCGCAACGCAATGGTCCGACTAGTTGTCCATGGCGGATTGGGCGCCAATTGCAGCACTTTTCAACCCCTGATTTTCATAGCCCGAGCTATGGCCAATCGCCACGCTAGCTGAACCCTGTGTATTTCGACCCACAGTATATTTAATCGCCAAGCCATTTGATGACTGCATATTGTACACCGCCGCAAATCCGACTGATATAGCCTGTCGCCCCTACTGGGTGGCTCCCGTAATATTCCCAATACTTATAGCGTATTCACCCTGGTCATTCTGTGCCGCGTTGTTTCCAATACCAATTGCCATTTTACCCTGTGTGGCCATACCCGCCCCGTTGCCAATTGCAACACTGTTAAAAACGTCCGGCATAATATCCCACGGCAACCGATCGGGTAGCCTGATCTGTATGCCCCGATTGCATGCCAATAGCCACCGATTGGGTTGTCTGACCTGTATTTCCCGATTCTCTGCCGATGGCTACCGATTTACTACCCTGGTCCGTTTGGCCTACACCTCTACCTATGGCCACCGAATTTTCACCCTGGTTTTCAACTGCTGCATTGGTCCCCATAGCCACACAATACATACTCTGCCGCGTTTGCTCTGCATCTCTGCCGATAGCCACTGCATTGGCACCCTGGTCCATTTGGCCTGCGCTTACACCAATGGCGACTGAAGTCACACCCTGTCCTGTTTGACCTGCCTCGCTTCCAATGGCTACTGAACCAACGCCCTGGCTCACCTGCCCCGCTTTCTTCCCTAATGATACTGTCCCCTCGCCCTGGTTTGTCTCACCAGCACGGTTTCCCACGGCCACGCCATAATGGACCTGGTTAGTATCGCCCGCTAAGCGATCGAGACGCACATTGGTCGTGCCCACTTTCCAAGACATTTTTTGTCTTCTTTCTTCTTAATGGTATAGTCGAGTTTGTTTGTACCACAAAATCTTCAGCGTTGTAAAAATTGGCAGATGCACAAGTCTCCAAAAAGTTTTTTTTGAAGAAACATTCGTGTTTTCTATATTTCGTGGACGTTGAACACATACCTACCCCCGGGCATTGTGTGGCAGAACAGCTGCTTGGTCAGGGGGAGCGCATTCAACTGTGCGTCGACGAGCTTAAAGTCGCCAGGGCTAGACAATATGTAGTCAGTGACTGCAAATTGGGCTTCCTCCAACGTTTCGTTGTGTAGAAAGTATCGCACCACGGGATCAATGTGTGTTGTCGACGGAAACTTGAATTTGATGGTCACGTACGCGTGCGCAGGGGAAGGATCGATGTACGCTGAACGCGTGTACGTGCTGTCTACAAGGCGAAACAGCCGCCGTGCGCGCTTGGCGGGCACTGAATCGTCGTTGAGTGCACGTTTCACCATTGTTTTTGTTCTGAGACTAGAGTGTGAAGACTGAGGATCGCTTAAAATGTGACACATGTACAAGCATAAGATTTTAAAGCTTGACCAAATTTGTGTATATACACATATACATATATGTATATGTATATTTGTTTTTAGGGACCCTCACAGTTTGTGTATTTGACTTGCTCCGCGGGATCGCAAAGCTTGTGGATGCCACCGCTCAGCTTGCAGTTTGTAAACTCAAACTTGGCCACGTCGTTGCACGCCCCCTGGTACGCAACGCCGTAAATGAGGTTTGTGCCGTTTAGCTCGCAGTTGGTGGCGCGGTACGTCTGTGGCTCCACTGAAAGCGATGTCGCATCCATAATATATATATATATTTATGAGAAAAAAATGGGTCTTTATTCATAAAAAAATGTATTCCCGAACGAGTTATGCGAGCTTTTTCCAGCCGCTGTTAGTGTCAAACCAGATCTCGGTTGCCAGCGACTCGTTCTTCGACAGATCAGACTCGGACACGTCTTCATACTCGAATATCTAAATCGGCTTTTTCCCCGCGGCGACCTCGTGGAACACCTCCGTGTCCCCCCACTGGATCGACTCTTCGCATATGAAACCAACATAATCGTCCTGCACGGTCTTGTCCTTGCGAATCAGATCGGCAGCTTTCTTAAACAACGGCCCGAGTCCCGTTGCGACGGCGATCTCGCCCAATTTTCGAGTGTAGTCGATTTGGTCAGCGTCACTTTCATCTGAATTTTCAATGTTGTCGAACTCTACATATTCAAACCCCTTTTCCTTGAGTTTCTGGCTTCGTCATTCCGGGAATTAGAAGCGGCCACTTGTCAAACTTGAACAAAGTTTCATCGGGGCAATTCGGATATGGCTCCCCAAACACCTCGGATGGGAACTCCGACAATCTTCCCAGCTTCCAGCAGACATATATCCGGCCACAAGGAATCCCTTGGCCTTGTACTTTGCCACCTCGCTTGCGCTGTCGTCACCGTCGAGCATCACAATGGACCCCGCGCCATCCGATGGCATGGGTGTCTTGTCGCCATCACCCGTATTAATGTATTAATGTATGAAATTAGTTGTTTATTATGTCTGTGTGTACGTATATATGTATGCATGTATGTAGGTATG